ATTATTAATATAAGTTACCTAAAAATTTGTTCACCAAGTTTTGTTAATTATTCTAACAATTTTTAGAGATTTATATTATTTACCATCCGACATGAATCTGTCCTGTGTCATCATCATAAGGTCGTCAGTTCTAAAACTGGTTGGACAAGCACCTCCACTCTTTCCTATCTTGAGCTAATCTTCACATTTCCCTAGCCTTTCCTGTTTAAGAAGGTGTCCTACCAATTTATCTTGCCTATTTATTATTGACCTCCATAGCGCCCTCTGTTCTCCTATTCTTTCTAATACCTCCTCATTTCTAACATTTTCTATTCATGGTATCCTCATCATTTACTTGTAATATCACATTTCGAACGCTTCGAACCTATCGGCCGGAAAGATGACAGAAGTTATTTGTATGAATTCCACTATACATAAGGTGACCATACGTCCCGCTTTCAGGCTATCCGCCCCTCTGGCCCAGCGAGAGCATAAAAGTCCCGCTTTCGCGAACAGACCAAATTATAATTTAATTTACGATTATTTTGTACCTACGTCAAACGCGTAGTGAGCAATGGGGTCAATTTAACACAGAATTAGAAGTATTTGAATGGATAAATTTATCGAAAAAACCGTACATGGGAAGAGGTACAGGTTATCATGGATTTATTTGTAAGGAACAGGACACCAATGTTTTTGACGAGTTTTCACATATTTCTAGCATTTCTAAAAATCACTAACTGGAATGCTGAGAATTTGACTGCTGAAAACCGTGCAAACAATATCCACTTAACGAACTTTTCTATAATTACTGAGTGTGTGTTGTGTCTGCCTGGAAGTAACGCATCTGTCGAAAGAGTATTTTCTCAAATGAACATGGTCGAGTGAAAAAGCACGGTAGAGCGTCTCAATATTGAAAGCCATTTTGACTACAAAAAATAGCATAAATAAATCGTGTACTGAGGTATATTTATACCTAAAAACGAAACCAGAGGTTTTTAAAAAGATTTGTTCAACCGACAAATATAAAATACAGCCCAACTAGAAGTAATGTAACGTACACTACCCTTTTTTAATAAAAAGGCTTGTAAAACAACAACGTCCCGCTTTGTCAAAAAATAAATATAGTCACTTTAGCTATACACCGTTCTATTTTTCAAAAGATGGTGCCGCCCTTTGACGATTGCTAGGAATAGAATATGTCTATGTTCAGCTTTCAATTCGCCTTGTTCTGTAGTCAAAGATGTTACAGTAGCATTTATAAAAGCTATAGGCGACCGAATCCTTTTTCAAATTAGTTTACAAACTAATAACTTGAAGTTTATATTCATAGAAATTTGTCAAAGAACGACTTAGAGTTTTTCAGCTCTTTTGCTTTGTGGTATCTCCTTTAAAAGGTTGTGACTTCGGGAATGTTAAAAACTGCAGAAAAGATAAAATCTAAATAAACTTTTTGGTGTGTCCTGTAATAAAAAGATTATTCTCCAACAAGTGATAAGTACTTAAAAACGTTTTCATTTACTTCCTGAGGTTCATCGTCCGCGTGAAATGGAAGTCCCTTTGATAATATTATTTTACAGTCAATAATGTGTAAATACAAAGAAGTACGTGCACTGAACCGACTTGCAGCGACCGGCTCTCTACGATACGATCGGAACGACAGCGTACGGCGCGGATTGAATTGGTACAATCGACACAGTGTTATAACTCACAAAAGCCAATGTCCTTAATTTTTCAATTAGCATATAGCATACAGCGTGAACTGTGTAAATATGCAGTGTGAATTTTTTGTTATTTTGACAGACAAAAGAAGAGAGTAAACTAAATTAAATAAATGGTAATATTAATATTTATATGTATTATACAGGTAATTGACAAACAGCAAGAG